TTATAACCAGCAATCCCATTCTATCAATGCTTTAAAAGTCCAAGGCCCAGGCTCCTGAGCCCAGCACAAGGAACTTCCCTGCTGACTGAGCCCTGCTGTCTTTTCCAGCCTTACTTCTCTCTGGATACAGCCCTAGAGCACTGGAACTGAAGATGACTACAAACAAGCCTCTATATGTCCATCTGCCTCGCCTCCATGTAGATTGCCTTTACCCAGCCATCCATCCCTGGTATGACCAGATCTTCCCTGCCCCCTGCAAGGTCCAAGTCACCTTCCCTTTGAATTCTTCCCCCACCCTCTGGGTAGAACGAATTGCTCCCTGCTCTAGGTCAACATGCCACTTCATTGCCGACCTCTATTACAGCACAGCCACACAAGCCTGGAATAACTCGCTCAACTGTCTCTGGGACTATAGCTCAGCTCCGTTTGGAAAAACAAAAAAATTATTCCCACCCAAGGCCTGTGCAAGGCCAGCACTCACACAAGAGTGCATTGAATGACTTTGGGCTTCCTTCAAGGCCCTGAAAGGACACACTGCAAAACTCTGAAAGGCCACCTTCATCTCATCTACCCTAGAAGAGCTGTTTTGCCATACAATGGTGGTCTCCAGAGACTGTCCTAAGATAGTGTCCTGTGTCTTAGGTGTGGGGAAGTTTAGACACACAAAGACCCAGAGGGGCTAAGTCATGAAGTCAAGGCTTAGCTGAGTGGTCAGTGAGCAAAGCTTCCTAGGTTCAGACTCCAGGTTCTGCCAGCAGAGGCCAAATGATGAAGAGCCTCTGGGGCTGGCACTTAGTGTTGTGTAGGATCTTGGTTTTCTGAGCTCTTCATGATTTAGAGTGAAGCTATAACCAGTGTCTGAGGCAGGGACAACAGGGTCTTGTCCTTGTAGTTAGACAAAGTCCATAGCCAAGGGAACTAATTTATAGGAGTCTTTGGTGAAGGATTCATTGGGAGACTCCTTGCCTCTGTAGGCAGCATGATGGGTGTGCCTGGCATTCGCAGTCTGACAGTGCCCATCATTGGGGTATCATAGAGTCTCCTTGCCAGTCTACTAATCATGACCCACTGGGACCCACCAACAGCAGCCCCACGCCCCCTCCTACCTGAGCAGTGTCCATCTCATTCAGCATCACCACAGAGGAACAATTATAATCGAACACCAGTCTCCAGAAGTCTGCCACAGTGTTGGGGAGAGGGTGCTGGGTGACCACAAAGGCGGCAGGTTGCTTGTGACTCTGACAAAGGAATGACACAGGCTTAGTCAAATACATACCCGTCAGTGATATTCTGATCATGATGAGGCCGGGATGGCTGCCAGAGGCCCTGAGCCTGCCAAATAGATTTCACATAGCACCTGCCTGCTCTGTTATCTCTCGGTACCCTGGCGGCAGAGGGGACCTTCTCATAATGAACACATTCTCCTCCAAACTAAGACATTTCATTAGGAAAGTGTCACTTGGATAAAGATTATCCAAATAAATTATTTATGTCTTGCAGCTCAGCAAATCATCATCACAATATGAAACGAAACATCCTGGATGTAGGTTTTCTGTACGACTGACCAATTCACCTCTTGGGAGAGCAGGGATCCCATGAGTTCTAGGTCCTTATGATGTTGAGGAGGGGACCAATGACCCCAGAGGGGGCACAGATTACAAGGATCACTTCTGCCCTTAATTGAGAGCCGAGCTAGCCTGGCCAGAGGTGGTATTGTCCCCTTTAGCCAACAAAGTGGTAGAAGGCAGTCAGGTGTTTGAGTCATGTGGACCTGAGGTTCAAACCCCGTTTTGCCCCTTGTAAATTATGACTCACCCATTTGTTCATCCATCCAGCACTACTCACCCATTTTTTAGCCATTCATGTTTTTAATATTGGGTACTAAGCATTGGTGAATCATTAGATGATTTCAAAGCTTAGACTCTTTTCCTAGAAAATGCAGCTCAAATCTAAAGAGATGGCTGTTGTAGAATGGACAACATTTGCAAGCAAAGAAAAAAAAAAGCAGAAAAAAAAATACCAAGAGAAAAATCTTGGCAACTAAGACTGGAGGGATGGCTCAATGGTTAAGAGCACCTGCTGCTATTCCAGAGACCCGAACATACATCCTACAGCTCACAACTATGTGTAATTCCAATTCCAGGGGATCCGATGCCTCTTGGCTCTACAAGCACCACACTCACGTATGTGTGCATAACCACTTGCACACACATACACACCTTACACCAGCAATAATAATAATAAACCTTAAAAAAGTAGTAAGCAAGTTCACTGCAGGTAGAGATACTCTTGACTTAGGTTTTCCTCCTCAGCACCAGCATTGTGTTTGGAACACAACAGACACAATCACAACCACAGCATTGGAAAGACCTTAATTTTACCTGTGTTACAGATATAGACCTTGAGGCCTAGGGGGAAAATGCCCTGTGTAAGCCTGGAAGCTTCACTTGGGCCCCATGTGCCATTCCACCTCGCGAGGAAGTATTTGGAAAGACTGTGGGGGGTGTTTCTACTTCATCAATAGCAGGTGAAACCAACGAACCAGACGATGCTTCAACACGTTTTTCTGGGTAGCTTCTCTGAGTAGGAGTCAGAGCTGCTTAACTAGAGTCACAGAGTCACAAGTCAGAAGGAAATGGGGGAGAGAAGTGGGACAGAGAACTCGGAAATAGCATGGCAAGGCTTTGCAGACACGTATGTCATGTCTACATTAGGGACTCCTGTTTCCTGGGGCCTTCTATTAGCCAGTAGATGATCTAACAAAGGGTACCAGGGGACAGACCCTTTACATCTCTCAAAGCTGAAAGACCATGTTAGCATGGCCTTTCTGCCATTTCCAAACTTTCAAAACTACATCCAGGCTAAGGCTAATGAGATGGCTCAGCAGTTAAGAGCACTGATTGCTCTACCGGAGGACCTGAGTTCAATCCCAGCATCCCATAGAGGCTCACAATTGTCTATAGCTCTCATTCCAGGGAGTTGTAGGTACCAGGCACACACAACCTCTTTCTGGTCTCTGCAGGTACCAGTTCAGGCACACTCATGATATATATTTTCTGGTAAAACATTCATACACATAAAACATAAAATTAGAAAATACAATAAAATTAGATGCATAAAATATAAAATAAAATTAGACTTTCAAGACAGTTGTCACATGGTTCTGGTCCTTGGTGCTATCATTTCAAAGCCAGTTGACTTTGAACAGGTGATGGAGATCCTTTGACCCTCAGGAGATCTCCAAAAAAACGGGGACAGTAATACTCCAGGGCAGAATGAGACAATGCAAGTCCAGAGCCCAACATGGTGCCCGACATGCAGTGAATGTTAGTTTTCTTTGCTTTCCCTGTCTCTGTGATAAATGCTCTATTAGGCCAGCACGCCTGACAAAGTCTTATCTGAAAATATGTTCGAGATCTGTGCTCCTGCCGGGTTTCAGGGATCAGCCAGCAATCCATTTCATGGATAACATCATCCGTTCCCAAGGGAAACATTAAAAATTAACCCAGAGGACTTCATATTTTTCTGCTAGAGGCAAAGCTGCTATGGTTACCAGATAATGCACAGACTGGGCTGGAATACAGATAAGGAATTTTTTTTTTTAATATAAGAAAAGCAAAGGCTTCAGTGATGGCTCACAAGAGAAATGCCCCGTGGACAAAGAGAATACAATCAGAACCAGAGCTTGGCAGAAGGTGTCTGACTCCAGGCAGCATCTCACCTATGAAGTAGAGTCCAAGAGCTTCCTTGATCCTTGCTTGGATGAAAAAAGCAGTAAGAAAGGATGCTGGGGTGATGGGGGATAATGGCAGGAGGAGCATGGAAGTATGGGTTTTTCTCTGAACCATGTCTTCACACACACACACACACACGAGAGAGAGAGAGAGAGAGAGAGAGAGAGAGAGAGAGAGAGAGAGAGAGAGAGAGAGAGATAAACAGGGAGAGAGAGACAGACAGAAAGGGAGCAATAGAAAAATCTTAGAAGGTGACCCTAAGCTAATATCAGGAGTCTTCCTCTTTCAGCAATTCCAGCTACTTAACACGATCCACACAAAGGCTCCCTGCTTCTGCACTCAGCCAGGCTTCCATGAAAAATATAAGCACCTGTGAGCCAAAGCCAGGGAAGGTTTTTTTTTTTTTTTGACACCTTAGCTTGGGTATTGACCCTATAGTATGTTTTTTCTAGGGTGGGAGCTAGGAACTCTAAGTCTAGCTCCAGCTCTCTATGATAGCCTGAGCAAATCCTCCTCAGTCTGACTGAGTCTCTCCTGCTGAAAGGAGCATGGATGGGACTAGACTGTCTGTGGGTCATAGCACTGCAAGCATCTGTGTCTCCTGAAGGTGCAATGATAACAGCTAAAAGATGCCCCAAGACCCAGGAGGGAGACTTGTGAGGCAGAGGAATGGGAACACTGGACATGCTGTTGAGGAAGCAGCAGTTGATGCCTTAAGGTCCATGGCCTGTTTCTCTTCTTGATTCTTTTAATATATCCAATCACTGCCCGCTAGCCATTTACTGACCATCTACTGTGTGCCATCTTCCTCTCTGCCTCGCAAAGGAATTATCTGAGGGACTAAATTCCAGCAGGGATCCCAAGAGGATACACCACATCTTATCTCCTGAGGTCTCAAATTCTGGGGAATGTGGCCAGACCTGAACTTCTGGCTGAGCCATTTCTGTGGGACACAGCATCTTGCACGACAGAACTATCGACTTGAGCTTGGGATTTTTTTTTCTTCAGTGTTTGATCTATTCTTTCCACCTTCTTTAAGTCAAAGAGCTAAAAGCACACAATGAACTTGGGTTTTGACATGAGGCTTGAGGAGGGAATTGGGGGAAATGGTCTCAAAGGCCAGCAGTTAGAAACAAGGTGACCAGTAGGGTCAAGGTTCTGGGATTCAGCCATCTCCACCTTGGGGAAAAGCCTTTTCTGTAATGGCAGCCAGGGCTTTCCTGCCAGGGCTCAGCTTACATCCATCAGTGCTGCATTGATGTAATTGCTGGACTCTCCATCCACTGAGATGAGGAAGGGCAGGCAGCGGTCCAGAGGCAGGACATCCATGTTCCGATTCTTATCGTGGTTCCGGGGTAAGAGTCCGATGCTACAGTCCTCGGGCCGTACTCGGGGTGTCACAATGTTGAGTGTCTGTGGGGCATATAAAGGAGTGGAGGAGTGATACACAGGAGGCTGTGTCTGAGCAAAGGAGACGGATATCCCAGTTTAGCTTAACTCGCCGGTCGTTACCCTCCAAGCTCGACCCTGCCATAGTTTCCCCTGCACTCATGCTTCTCCCATGACTGTGATAGTCTTTTATATCCTGCAGGCAGGCACAGGACTTGTGTGCTAAGAGACTTTTCCAGGATCTTTGAGACACCTTCAAGATGCCAAGGCTGCAGGTGCAGCATGCCCATACATGGGCTCAGACATGGGCTGACAACACCTGCCAACCATTTGAACTGTTGTTCAGCTGAGCTAGCACAGCATTAAAGTAGGGCCAGCCAGAAGGGCATATGGCAGGGAATGGCGTTGAGAATCTCTAATGAATGTTTAACACCACTTGAAGTGCCATGGCAAGAAGGAAGTGATTTTTTTTTCAGCACTTTTCTCAGCGATGGAAGTGTCTCAGTTGTAGGAGGATGGATGGATGCTAGGATGCTCTCCTCAGGGTGGGTAAGGGTCCTTGTGGGGCAAATTAGTAGGTCTACAAAATTACAAGGCTAGAGCAAGTTCTCACCCAGTGAGGGACCATGGTTGCTCCAGCCAATAGAAGGTCCTGTGTGCAATGACCAGGGTTCTGTGCCTTTCATCTCTCTGTCACTTGGCATGCTATCTCTGAGACAACAAAGATTATTTGTTTAAATGATTCCTAAAATATTAGCCTGACTGGAAAACTTTGAGCCTGGGATTTGCTTGTTTCTTCCTGCCCAGTTCTTACAGCTCCATTACTCAGGTTTTGGCCATGGATAAGGTCTGAATTCTAGCATTATTGGTGATCCATGTTCAGGTCTTTAGTTTTCCACTCAGTCATTTATATCTGGGCCTCTCAGATCAGAGCTTTAGTTTTGACCATCCTGATTCCAACGTGTGAATCTGCCATATCTGAGCCACGCTGTAAGATGGTTAAAAGCTTATCTTGCACATAAATAAATGCCCCTGAGATCCTGTTAAATCGCACATTCTAATTCAGTAGGTTTGGGTGGGACCCAAGAATCTTCATTTCCAACAAGCACCCAAGGCCAGATGATGGGTTTAAAGAATTTGTGGAGAGAACACTGGGGCGGGGGTGGGGGTGGGTACAGTCTCTCCAGAGTCAAAGAAGCGGGGCGGGGGTGGGGGTGGGTACAGTCTCTCCAGAGTCAAAGAAGCTTGAAATTCACACCAACATCAGTGCGTAAACTTCTGTCCACTCCACAACATCAACAAGAATTAACCAAGACCTCAGTTCAATAGCATAATCACAGCACAAAAACAAGTGTCAGCCGTCATTGAGTGATTGGCTAATAGTTGCTAATGACTGTGCAATCTGATGGTGTGAAAAGCTCTCCACAGCTGCCGGGCACTTTGGGCTTGAAAGCACACACACACACACATCAATCTCATCAAGAAAGGCCCACAATGTGAATTAAGTTGCTTGGGTCATTGCTATAGATTGAATGCATACATTTTCCCCCACACAGATGCTACTCTACCAGCTCCCAATGGGGCAGATGAGGAGGGGGTGGGGGCTGTAGGAAGTAATTGCATCATCAGTGTGGAGTCTTCATGAATGGGATCAGTGTCCCCATGGAAAGACACACAAGTGTTTGCATGTTTGCTCCTCCACTTTCCACCATATGAAACTCTAAGGACGCAGCCACTCACAAACTACATTGGTGTCTGAGCCCTCCCCAGATACTAGATTTGCTGGCTGTTTGCTTTTGGGCTTCACTGCTTCCAGAAGTGTGACAAGCAAATGCCTGCCATATAAGTCGTCCAGACAATGGAACATTGTTAGGACATCCCAGAGCAGCTAAGTCCCTGGACCTCAGCTTTGCCCATACCTGAAACTCATCTTTGATCTGGCTGGAGTTAGTCTGGGGGTCCAGCCTGCTGATGTTGTAGTAGAGAGAGCGGAACTCACACACAGGGATGGCGGTGTTGCCTCAGAGGCATGCTTCCAGGATGGCGTCATGCACGAACACGTACTGCTCCTGCAAGGTCAAGAGGAGGGGAAGAGCGGGCCAGGTGAGGACCGCTGTTTGCGAGCATTTTGTCCACATCGAATGAATCTTGTAGCAATGAGAAAAGGACATGATTTATTCTGCAGAATCCTTAGTTTTATATCCTGTAACCCAAAGGTCTAAGTCACCGTGTTTCACGGTGATTGAGCTATGGAGCGTTTTTGCCCTTGTACAAGATGGAACAGCCGAGCCACTGATAAGAATGAGAAACTCCAGCACGTGTCATTGCAGACGCCCTGGAGGTTCTGCTCATGTTCCCAGCTTTCATCCAGAAGCTGCTTGCTGCAGAAAACCTGCTTTTCTTTGGGGAGTACTTTCTTCCTACTTCCTGGAGCGTATTTAGTGTTCTCTCGCTTCCTTCCCATCCCACTTCCCACTCAACCACCAGAATGCCTTTAAATCTACTGAACATAAGTTCATTGTTAATTGTGGGTCTTTATAAGTGTTTTGTTGCGCATCATTTTTCAACAAAAATTTGACCCTTTTAAATAAAGTGCTTTATTTGAACTTATCTTGATATATTTACATTTAAGTATGTCTCCATGCCCGACAGTGAGGGTCATGTGTCTGACTCTGCCTACTCTAACTGTCCTCTACAGGCATGGCCTTAAGCACAGATAGTGCAGTCATCTTGGCTCTAGTGTTATAGGCCTAGGAATTAGCCTGTGAGCTTCTCAGAGCCTGCAGCAGAGTCCAGTGTGATGAAGCTTTCGATGATCATTGCAGGGACTGCCGTACCTAGAGCTATGGATATCAGGGCTGATACGAGTGCAGCTCCCACGGCTTTTAGATCTGCTAGGACATCCACAGTTTTTACCATAACCAAAGGGTGAACCCAATGCACGAACAACAACCCAAGGCATTCAGGAGTGGGATAGAGAGAAAACCTGATTAACAAGAGAGAGTGGTTCAGGACAAACCACTTGGTCTTTACCCATATGAAGACTTAGTATATAATTTCTTGGTGTCCTTCCCACGGATAGAGTGTAGATGTGAGAAGGAGACATACCATGGGATGGGAAGAGTAGGGGAAGGATCCTAGACACAATAATGCACATTTCTTGGCTCACTGTAGGTGACAACAGTTCAGACAGCCTTACTTACATTATCCTTAGATACTGGGCTCTCCAGCTAGACAGAAAGGAACCTGCCTTTCCTCGAGGTTAAGGGTTGCATATGTCTCTCTAGCAATCCATAACCCCTAGCTCAAGTTAAAGTTCTCAGGAACTTTGGGCTGGAGAGATGGCTCAGTAGTAAAGAGGACTTGCTGCTCTTAATAAGGACCAGGGTTTGATTCCCAGCACCTACATGGTGGTTCATACCTATGGTCACTCCAGCTCTAGGAGTTCCAACAGGGTCTTTGGATCTCTGTGAGCATCAGGCACTCATGTGTTGCACTTACATACATGAAGGCAAAACGCTCAGACACATAAAATAAAATAAATAAACCTTAAAGAAGTGTACTTTGCTGATGAAGCCATTTTTATCAAGGAATAACTGGGCGCTTGGCACAGAGCAGGCATTCCATTAGTACCTGTACTCCCTCTTCCTCTCTATTCCTGCATCAAACGCTGGACTACAATACCTGACAACTGCCATTCAGTCTTACTGGGATGATTGCAGAGATAGCGGATTCAACAGTTATTGCTACCAGGAATTCCTGCACCATAGACTCTCAGGATTGGATGGGAGGTCTCACCAGAGCAAGCTACGTATTCATTCTGTACTAATACTTGTGAAGATACATCCTTTCTGTATGACTTCTTCTTCTTCACTACTGAGCCTCTGTCCTGCCATGCTTCTCTTTGGCCAAGCTATCAGGAAACTAGCTGACTGGGTGCCCCAGGACTAACCTCTGTTTGCACCAGGTTGACCCTCTGTGCCCGCAGCTCACGCACGCAGTTGAAGATGTCCACCACCCCTTCATTCTCAGCCATGTCGAGCATGGTGTCAATGGCAATGAAGCAGCCAGTCCTCCCGGCTCCAGCACTGGAAGAGAAGTTTGCTGTGTGTTAGGGATATAAAGATGGGATGAAATAGGGTGAAAAGGCCTCTACCATCTAACCCTGTCTCAAAAACCTTGGTGAAAGACGGTGTATTATAGAAGTCAGATGGAAGGGTTGGAACCCCCAAATTCCTGGGCTATGCTGAACACGTGATCAAAATTTTCTTTATTAAATGGGAGAGTAATGCTTACCACTGTGGTTGTTTGGGGAGACTTACTTTATTGTACTTACTTAGCAAATGCTTATTAGTGCTTACAAGGTGACACATTGTTGTGCTTCACAAATATGTCTATGGACTTCCCTACAAGGGGATAGAGACGTGTCTTACCCCATTTCAGAGGTGAGAAGCTGAGGCACAGAGAGCTTAGAGCCTGAGGTCATAGAGTCGGCAAATGGGAGAGCCGAGCATTCCCCCAGGCAGTCTAGAATTTCTACTACCTTTCTTAATAAGATTTATAACGTGTAATGCAAGATTTCATAGTAGGTGTGCCTGTAGGCTCCACATCTAATGGATATAGTCCAGGGGGTACAGTGTAAAACACTTATTAATGCCTGGCATACTAGAATCTTCCTGGTAAATATGTCTTTTCCCTTTCTCATCTCTTCTTTCATGTCCCCTTTTTCATGTCAGCAAATGGGTTGGTAGACAGAACTAAGAAAAGGGCAGAGGTTACAGAGAAGACATGAGTGAGAGAGCAGAGATCAGGGAGCCCGAGCTGTGTCAAAGGCAGAGAGCTGGTCTGGCGTCCCCTAGTCAAGGCCTTGCACTTGACCCATTTGTGCTGACTTCCTCAGGGACATGAGCCAGGCACATCATCAAACTAGAGTAGCTGACAGTCTTGAGATCCTCATCAGGCACCAGGTTCCCTGACATATGATCAGCTTCTGATTACTGACATGCTTTAATAGGACCAGACAGAAAATGGCAAGAGGATTTTACAAGACCCTCTGGAGCACAGCCAGATCTCCCCCTATCAACTCTGGGTTAACAAACAATAGGGCCGAATCACAAAACACTGGCCTGCACTGTGCACAGTTTTGGAATGGAAAGGAAGGCAGAGAGTCAAGGAAGTCCACATTGGCAGTGGTTTCACCCTTTACTTACCCCATGGAAACAAACGTCTTTGTTGAACAATGCAGAAACCAAAGGAAATGCAAGGGGATGGATGGAATAAGATACAAAAGCATCACTGGCTGATAGGTCCAAGAAGCCTAGGCCAGCAGGGTCCCACACATTAGTGATCTGGAAACCAAACCCTTGGGAGCAGTCTTCACTGATAAACCACCATGGCTTGAACTGAGTGGAGCTTGCCTTACTCATGCCTCAAAATACCTGTCCCCAGTGCACTCCAGACCCATTTAAAAGGGACTCAATAGAATTGGTTCAGGAGCCTGGGTCTATTAACACACACACACACACACACACACACACACACACACACACACACACACTCATTCATCTGTTCCCCAAGCCGCATCTTCAACATATCACATGGGAATGAAGGAGCATCACTAGTTTTCAATCTAGGCTAGTGTATCCGAGAGTAAGGTCTACAGTATTAGAGAGTAAGGTGTCTGGTGTTTGTGACCCTCAGTTCGTGCCTCCTAGAAGAGTTTTTGAAAAGTCTCAGCTGTGTGTGTGTGTGTGTATTCATGTGTATGTAGTGTGTATAAATGTGTATGTATTTGTGTGGATATGTTTGTGTATTCATGTGTATGTATATGTGTATGTGTGTGTATTCATGTGTATGTATATGTGTATGCATGTATAAATGTGTATGTGTGTGTGTATATGTGTATGTATTTGTGTGGGTATGTGTGGGTATTCATGTGTATGTATATGTGTATGTAAATGTGTATGTGTGTGTATATATGTATATATGTGTATGTATTTGTGTGGGTATGTGTGTGTATTCATGTGTATGTATATGTGTGTGTGTGTATTTTTTTCCTAGAATAAGACAGTAGTTAGACACATGATATTTGAGATCCCTGAGATTAAATATTGGCTCTGTTACTGACTAGCTGTGTGACCTTGGGCAAATGACTTCATTTCTATGGGTTTCACTGTTCTCATTCATAAAATAAAAGTGGTCGTATACCTCTTAGTATTAATAGTACAATATATGTAAATTGCATTAAATTATATTTTAGAAGTATAATGCATGTAAATTGCTCAGTTTAGTGCCTGGCTACTTGTGATCCACAAATATTTACAAAGCATCCATGATGCCCTGGATGCCAAGATTAAGAGTAGGCATAGGAAGATGAGCAAGACACATTTCCTGTCTGAAAGAATTTGTTAACCCCACCTGGGGTGTTGGATGACCTTAAGAGGCAGCAAGAGTGGTGGATTTAAGTGCTTATTATGTTTAGAATTCTTTCAGGCACTTAGTGTGCATTAGCCAAACTGTAACAGCTCCAGGAGTAGGTACCACTCTGCTTAGATGCTTTACAGTGTCTTGTTATGGAGATGCAGGCACAGGCCATCACACACAGTACTGCACGTGGCAGAGGGTCTGGTGAATATTTGCCATCGTCTCCTTTCCTCTCTTCCTCCTGAACTCTGCCTGCAGTTGTGGACATCGGGCTTCAACACAAATGCACCTTTTCCTCTGTGCTTACGATGAAGGGCAAAGCAGAAAATCCAAGCCAAATATCCAGACAGTGCAGAGGTTTCTACCTGTAAAATGTGGATGTGTCTCCACTACTGTGGAGAACACAAAGGGATGTTGTGTGGGAGATTTTCACACAGGGAGGGGCTGGGTCTGAGACGTGCATAGTGTCTTCCCTGACTTCTTGGCGGACACAGACACTGTCAGGAAGGATGAGACGGCCTGAGCATTCAAGGTAGAAGAAGACATGCTGAGCCCAAGGACATGCTGAAATAGAGGGGCTTAGGAAGGAGGGGAATACAGACTCTTTGGCCTTCGGGTCTGGACATCTACCTTCCTCCAATTCTAAACGCCCTTGACACGATACTTCATCTCCATTTAGGAGGATTCGATGCCACTTATGTTCAATGTGACTTTCTAGGTCAAAGCTGAAAATTTCCCGTCTCTGTAATAAGGGGAAGCTGATGCTGACCACTTGCTCTCTATTAGGGACCCTGCAGGCCAGCAATTGATTTTAAAAATAGTGGAAGCGAAGAGATACATGCTTATACCAAGATATCCCATGCCAGGTTGCTGCTAGGAAGCCCCAGAGAACATGTCAACTGTCCCAGCCTTGACATTTCCCACCTCTTTCTCATGTCCGTGCCTTAGTTTCCCCATCTGTAAAATGGGAATGGTAAGAGGGTACTGTTCAATTCTCAAGCTTGGGTGGGAAGTGAAATAATTTGGCCAGATCTACATAGCAGGCATGGCAGGTGCTGCCGAGTCCAGCTGTGTCTCTGGGACAACATTCATAATGGTAACATAACCCCTACTGCCACTAGGGACCCAGGTCTTCTCAGATGGTGGCTGGGCTCTGGTTTATAGGAGGTGGAATCTTAAAGGAAGAAACAAAAGCCATGGGACAGTATGGAGAACAAATCCGGAGGTACAGCTGATTGCAGAATGGGGATGGAGGACTGACTCACCTGCAGTGGACCACTATGGGCCCGGCTTCTGGGGGGTTGAGGAACTTGACCTGGCGGACGAAGCCCAGAAGGCCTGTGGCATAGCAGGGAACACCATGGTCAGGCCAGCTGGTGAAGTGGAAGAGGCGGAGCTCCCGGATCTCGTGGTAGCCTTTCTGAGGAGAGAAAGGGACTCTGTTCCTCCACCTGATGCCCTCATGTGCCCCCTGAGCTCCATGGGGGAGTAGGGGCTGTGGTACTGAGGAATGGTCCTCTCTGCTGCATGGGGAAAGGAGGCCCTCGCTTGGTTAATGGGTGTTAGCTCACAGGAGCTCAGTTACTTCTGGAAATGTGAAACCAATCATTTTTTTTGAAGAACCTTTTAAAAATTAATTAACTTATTTATTTTTATGTATATGAGAACTTTGCTTGCATGCCTTGTAGACATTCAGAGCAATTCCTAGCTGGTGCTATGAAACATCAACTTTATTGTTCATCTCAAGTTAAGTGATACTCACCCAGGGACATCTTTTCCTGGACATGCGCTAGGCACTAGGAAGGGATAATTTAAGCCACAGCCCCTGCCCCTGGAAAAAAGTTCATGGCCCCACTGGGTGAGGAAGAGGGAGACTCCTATGTCGATCATCTGACCAGAGTGTACAAATGAATTATCTAACAAGATGAGAGGGGAGGAGAAACCTGGGAAGGCTTCTTCGAAGAGGCCTCCTTGACTGAGGCCTGGGAATGCAGTAGTGAAAATAAAAGCTGGCATTTATATTAAGTATTGGTGATGTCCCAGTCACTCTTTTGACTTTGTCCTGTGTGTTGTGGATTCTCTAGCAGCACTACTGGCCTCCACCCACTAGGTGTCAGTAACAAAACACCCTCTCTCAAGCTGTGATGTTCTGACACCTTTAGACAGGGACAGATACCCACCAGAGAACCAAATCGCCCCTGGTTGAAATGGGGCCCAGACTAGATTCCCAGCCTGGAAAATGCTGGCTTCTTTTTGCCCACCATGCTATGTTTTTGACACTTGGCCAAGGATATTATTCCTCCCATGCTTTCCTTGACTGGAGCCTTTTCAGCCCCCAATTTTCTGCATTCTACAAGCCACTTCAGTTCTAGGGCTATGTAATGGTGCTTCTGTAGGTTCTCTCTCCATCCTTTGGTCCCTATGGCTCTTATCACAATATATCCCTTCTGTTTCTCTCTCTAGTTGATGAACCCACTACATGACCATATCAACTCTGATTACCATTCTGTTTATCATGTCAAATGTGGGCTGGGTACGAGCCAGACCCTTGGTCTCCACTGTCTGGATGAGTAGCCCCATCAACTGACTTGGAAGAGGGAGTACTCACAGAAAGGGAAACTTACCTTCTGGACTGTGAAGGTGCGGATGACATATTCTGCCAGGGGCTCTGTTTCAATTAGGGTGACTTTAATGTCTCCATAGACCTCTGTGTCGTCTGGCCAGTATCGCACACACTTTACCTGTGGCCAAGTGAGAGACAGGGAAAGGATAGGGAAGAGAATGCATAAACAGTGCCAAACATGAGAAGTCAACTCCTTTGGTTTTCCCATCCATATAAACCCAAGGGTGACTTTGGAGGTATTTTGGCCCATGGGGCGCTCAGTGGTCAGGGATCAGCAAATGACACTGGGCCTAACTCACTGCCAGAGTCACTGGGGCCATTACAAATGACAGAGGTGACTTCACTTACAGCTCCTGGTGGTTTTCTTGTGCATTGCTACCCTAAGCCATGAGAAAGAGCTAGGTAAGACGGGAGGCGTATCATGCCCACGTAGCCGATGAATAATAGTACTGGAGATGGTGACGTGGTCATTTCCTACTGTGTCAGCACAGGGATGCTGAGCATTATTATCTGAGCAAGGATGAGAAGTACCAGCGAGGAGGTAGAAGCAGAAGGGTTGAGGAGAGGGTCCTTATAAAGAGGCGGTCACTGGGGAGTGGAAGGAGAAAGGCTCTTTGCTGGGGAAGAGACAGACAGTCCTGAGCTTAAAGGGAAGATGTGCCACCGCTCTCTGCCCTAGCAGTGGGTACCTATGCTACCAGCAAGCAGTCCCCACGTTTGACTCTAAGTTCCACAGAGAGCAAAAGAAATCATGGTTTTCCCCCTTTAAAATAGCAAAAGTGTTATTACCATTCCGGGGGACGACGCACGGCCTAGCGTGGCATTTCCCACAGTGTGTTCCGCTGGGTGCTAATAGGTGTTAGGTAAACAAAACAAAACAAAACAAAACAAAAAAATAAAACAAAAACAAAAAACAAGAAACAAACAAAACAAAACAAACACAAAAAGGTTTTGTGGTCAAATGAGTTTGGGAAATGCTGTTTCAACAAAGTTAAACAAGCTGCTTTGCTAAAACATGACTTAGATCCTCAGAAGCACTAATGCTGTTAAATATCTCAGGACTCTCCAACAGGGACAGAGGACACAGCATTTCCCAAACATATTTAACCATGGAACCCTCTGCTCACTAGCCAGCCTGCAGACTAGCATCCCATGGAACCCACTTAGGGAAACACGGAGAGCACACCAGGGTTTGCAGAATGTTGCTTGATTCTAAGACTTTAGAGCTAAGACCCTCATGGAAAGCCTTAGATTCCTTTGGCTAATGAGAGCCGATACTTACCTTGTCTAGCACTGCCTGCTATAAGTGTTCTTTGACTTATTTGTATATATTGTTTTAATCTGATGTCACTATAGCCTTAGATGGTATGCTCACCCACATTTTACAGATGAGGATTTAAACATGGGGAAGCCAAGGAACCTGCTCAGAGTCAACAGCTGCCAAGGGATGGAGTGAGGACCACACCCAACTGTCTGTGTCAGAACCAAGAACATCGCCTTGCACAATCATTGCAAGTGAATACACTGTAGTGTGTTAGTTGGTCATTCGCAGGAGTTACGTTAAGAACCTTCTCCCCCTTGCAAGTCCAGTTTCAATCACAGTCCATTGCCCCATCACGGGGAGAATTGTTTCAGAATATGGAATGTGCTGGAATTCTCAAACCCTGGGCTTCCTTTGCTTCCCTCTGGAGCTGCAGTCTCTGGGTGGAGGCTGCTGAACAGCGGGAGCTGTCTGAACAGTGGGTGCAGTCTGAACATGGGGTTACAAGTAGTAGGATGCGTGTCACGAGTGAGAAGAGAGTGAATTGGTTCAGGTCTTTACCCCTTGGCACCCACGCCTCATCTGTAAAATGGGGGAACAGGGCCAGATAGAGGTACAAGCGCAAGGATAAAGTCCCACTTGGCCCTGATCCTCTATTAAGGTCCATGCTCTTTCGGTACACCGTGACAGCCCTTTTCTTCTGCACCTCTGTGACCAGGACACTTTCTTCAGATTATCTATAAAAGCGGACCTGACTACCACTCTTGGGTAGTTTGTCTACAGTATGGCAGCCCTTTGAGTCTAGATAGTTGTACATCGGCTTTCTCCAGTGCAGCCCACCCATCCACCCGCAGGCCACAGTTAATCAAAGAGGCAGAGGTGAGGTTGGAAACAGTGGTCCCATTTCTAAGCTCTGGCTAAGGACAACCTAGACCCAATCTAGATAGAATGGAGAGAGACAGAGGCCTAAACCCTGATGAGGTTTCACAGTCAGGGAAGGAAGAGCAGGCAGGAGAGGGTGAGATGCTGCTGAGAGAAGACAGATGAAGAGAGAGATGTGGAGCCTGGGGTTGTCAACACCAAGGCAGGGATGCTGACAGTTTCCCTGGTGGAATGGACTGACCTGCCATGTTGAGGTGGATAGAGGAGACCCGAGAGGAGACACAAGGCCTCTGAGTCCTCGAGATGCAGCAGAAACACGGGAACAGGGAAGGTACCTTTGTTTGGCTTTAAAAATGTTTCCAATAGTTTTTTAGTCATTAATTTTGTTATTTGACAATTTTGTACACAAATATGATTTATTCAGATTACCCTCCCTTCCCTGCCTTTCTATTACTGCTATCAGACCTCCCCCATCCCGCCCCTCCCTTTAGCAGGCTCATGGTTTTAGTTTTTGTTTGGTGACTCATTTGGTGGTGGTTTTTGTCGCTCTGAGATGGAAATTACTGAGCATATTCACATGCTGAGGTGAAATAATTCAGCAATGAAGAAGAGTCTTATATTTCAAATGAAAAGGGAATATGAGAAAATCTCTGAGCCTTGTTGGGTTGCGCCTGAGGATATTTATACGTCTGATCTGCCCTGCCTGGTTCCTTTCCTCCTAACAATATATCCTAGTGACAGGTCCCTGCAGCCTCCCTTCAGAGCTGAATGTGTCACTTCCTTGCTTCTCGGGGACTCCTGGTTGCTTTCCTGCCCCGTCCCTCTGGCTTCTTTGCTAGTACAAGTTCCATCTCTTCTTTTAGGCAAGGCCAGGTTCTTTAACGGAAAAAGAATGTTGGGCTAAAAGATGAGGAATGGAGGTGAACAAGGAAGGGCTTGCAGTGACCTCTCAGAGGGTCACCTATCAAGGGCAGAAACTTAGTGTTTGTCATGTTGGGCTTGGTCATAACAAATGGCCTATATTCAACCTTTTGGAATCAATAGAAACAGCCCCTTCTCATGGCTAAATCTGAGAGCAGAAGGGAAGGTTGTGAATATGGCTGCAGATGTGAATAAGATTATAGGTTTGGGATGTGTTGGTGATAGAGAGTTCCCGCCCGATGGCTTTAATTTCCTCAAAATGCATGAGATGACATTATCGGTGGAGAGAGAGGATAGAAATGGGATGGGAGACTTGAAGGAGTAGAACACTGCTCATATGTGAAATAGAGTAAGGAATCTCCCATCCCTATAGGCTGCCGTAAAGGTGTGGTACTGCTTAGGAAGCTGGTGGTACAGTGCAGACAGCAGGCACCCCAGGGTGTATCTCCACCGCCCTCTGCCCACACGACTGAAGGAGACGCTTACCCTGCCCACTTCCACGAGGTTTGTGACCATGACGATGCTAGCAGAGTTTTCCTGCCAGATCATTCTCCAAAAGTCCTTCACAGTCTCTTGCATTGGACCTGGCAACAGAGAAGACGATGGGGTTAGAGGCTGTGGGTACAAGTGGATGCTGAGTGGTTTGCCTCCCGACTGTTTAATCAGGGTTCAACCTAGGTGGGGAAGAGTGAGGCTGGGGGACCTAAGTGAAACACCAGGTAGTTAAGACTGAGGCTGGAGGTGTGAATCTGTTGGGGGCAGAGCAGAGCACAGATAAGGGGGGAAAAAAAACCACTCTTCCAGTATCTGGTCTGCAGGATCCGCCTTATCCTTGCCCTCACCCTCATGCTCAGCCCAGCAGCTCCACTTTTTCCGGATCCACTATTTTATCTGGACTATCGTGTCCAAGGTGGGTGGGGTTGCAGAGATTAGACAGTGGGATCTCGATGAGAGATAGCAAGGGAGCTAGGGTAGGGAGGGTAGAGCTGCCAAAAGCAAGAGGGTCCCGAGTTCTGAGTTTGACAAATGTCGGAGACAATAATCTGAAGTTTGACCAGGAAGGAGAGGATTAAAGCACAGAAAATACAAAAGAAAGAAAAAAAGGAAAAGGGCGGAAAAACCAAGGAATAGGAGATAGGATCTGACAGTCCAAAGCAATTGCCTAGGAAACAATTCTTAATATCCTGGGTCTTTATCAATTTTAAAATTACAAAAGCAGTTCATGCATTTGAAAGAAAATTTGAATAGCATTTTTCTGTGTTTTGTTTGTATATATACATTTTCTGCAATAAACACCAGGTTTATTATGAGTCTATTTTCATATCATCAAAAATAATATATTTCAAAGCTATAGCGCTTTCTACAACATGGAGATGCCATATGTTATTTAACAACCTGTCTGCTATGGGGCATTTAGGATTTTTCACTTTTTCCTATTACAGATGACACGATAACATTGTGAAGAATGCTTTTGATATATGTCAAGGTCCACACATATAATTATCTGCAAGACTTCCCCCAGGAGGCTGTAAAAGGCGTCATCATTTTTAAGTCTTCTGATAGCATACTGCCACACTGCTTCCCAGGGCAATGGGCTGCATCTCTCTTGTGGACTTGCACTCACTGGAGGGATGGGAATGTCTCTTGGGTACCCACTGAGGCTTTTCTCTGGTCACCCCACACGTGGTCCCTTCCCTCGGAATAATATTTTCTAGTGACAACCATTTCTGCTGAAAGTCTAGGTCAAACATGTCCTCTCCTTGCTTTTCAAAGACGGGTGGAGGCTTTGCTGCTCTGTCTCTCTGGCTTCCCTGTCTGCAAAAGTTAATCCCCTTCCTTCAGGAGAAGGCAGACCATTTAGTGGACAAAGAGCATTGGGATAACAGAGAGAGGAAGAGTAGATAAGGCTTACCCTGATTTTTTAGAAATCCCTCTTCCTAGATAACCTTGAGGTCACTCCAAGACACTTACCTTGGGTTGCAATGTAGTGCCGGGGACGGTGGTACCCCTGGAAAATAGGAAGACAACACAACCAAGGGTTTCCATTCAAAGCTTGGAAATAGCATAATATTATGACACATCTCTTTCTAGCTACCTGGTGTTCTCATAGGCAAAATGGGAATTGCTGTAGGAAGTCTTACAGCTTGTGATTACCCTCTTACTGGGGTGTGGCCTCTTATGCTATATATGCTGATGCAGAGCCTGCGTCAGCCCCTTCTTCCCTGGCCTCTCAGTTAGGGTTGCTGCAGAGGTGAGTCCTCTCATGTTAGTAACTGAGCTCTCCTCCACGAGCAAATGGATGGAAAGGCATATCTTTAATTCCAAGTCAAGATGGACAGGGCTATGCAGGCTGGATAGGAGACTTAGATTCTGGGGTCTTTTGAGTAGGTTTGGGAGCATAAAATAGCTCCCTAGATCCCAGGATGATGAGGTTTCTTGTGTCTACTCTCTTCTGCCATCTCCCTCATCATCAAAGTCTTCGCTGGCCTGGGCCATAGCTTCAACCTCCTGGTGTCCTCCAAGAACTCATTTTTACTCCTGAAGCTCATAAGCTTCCTGCAGCAGTGGCTTCTCGGGATGCACCCAAGGTTGTCAGGTTTTTTTTTTTTTTATTTGAGTCTTCAGTGACTCTGAATGGCGTGGCAATGTCTAAATGCTTCATCTTATAGTAACTACACAATAGCATCCTCATCTTGAACATTTTTCCCCAGCTCTCTTGCTGTGTCTGCTCCCACAATATACTCATCTTGTGTTCCAGCCTCACTACCCAGGACTTTAGACCTGGGCTCTTCTGTGATACAGAGGTAACTCCTTCCTCATGAGTCTCCTTCCCCCTTGAGAGATTCCACAGGGCTTCACAGAGACCCAGTGAGTACAGGGACATGAACAGCAGCACTAAGAACTTTTATCTTTTTCTTCTCCTGGGTCATGAGACACACAGTGTGGAGCGAGGTGTAGCTTTCTGCACAGGCTGGTCAGTGGGATGCATGCATGGGTCTGGTTTTGCATTGGCTAAGACCTTGGAAGAAACTGGGTTTGAAAGATTTCAAATGTACTTGAAATTAATGGCAGAAAATTCTGGGCAAGAAATTCACACATCCATTGTGAGGCTGGCCTGCCGAGGCTCTATTTTGTGCTTTTGTTTGTTTACGCAATCGTTCCAGATTTGACCAGCAAGCATCAAAGGGGCACATTCTGCTATACACAATGCATGGCAACCCAACAGTGAGCCAGCCAGATGTAGGCTCTGCTTTGGGAGCAGCTCATAGACATCTACAAGCTGGGTTACGAAACTCCAAGGGAAGATGGGGGGCTCTGTAGAGAACCCATGGGAACTGACTCAGCTATAGACCAGAGGAATGTTCTCTGATGAGGTGGTGGTTTAATTAGCTTCTAGGCTGGGCCTCTTGACATTCCTGAAATCCCACTTCATGCCATCAGTAGTCTGTCTAGTCTTCCCACTAATGTCCCCATTGCCCATGGACTTACAGCTCTTCTTCAGAAGTAGTGGTCACATTTCTGTCCAGAAGGCTTAGCACCAGGCGACTGTCTGCTTCCCTCTCCTACCCCTGATTTATTTTTTGTTCTTCCATTTTGTGTGCACGTGTTCGTGTATGCATGCACATGTGTGTGGAGGTGTCAGTGCACGTGTGTAAATATGTGTGAAGGCCAGAAGTCGACGTCAGATGTCTTTGTGAATCACTCTTTTTAGTGAACCTGGAGATTGTTGACTTGACTAGACCGCCTGGCCAGGAAGCCCCTGGGGACCCACTGAATGCATGTGTGCCACATGCCTGCCCCCATGCCGCATCTGGGCAAAAAGACCTGATCTAGACTCAAGAAACTCACAGAGTTCCCAAAGAGGAAAATTTTAAACCATGAGAGCGATTCCTTAGCAATGGAGATAAAAGGAAATGTGTTGCTCAATTGGGTCTCCTCTGGGGATTTGCCAAGAGCTAGTGAAGAAAACTTCTTAACCTTAAAAGAACTCCCAGTTCATCTAAGTCCCACCTACACAGCACACAGACTGACTGCAAACCAGCGCTGGGCCTGCCTCCATCTGTCTGTGAGCAATGGGAAAGAGGTTTGCATCCAAAACGCATTTATCTCACTCTACACGCCTGCATCTGTTACTTACTGGGGACCCAGATATGATATTTATTTCCAGGCCGGTAATTTATAACAGATTCAAGTGGCTAATACATTTTCGGGTGTGCAAACAAACAGGCCAGTGGGCTGGTTCAGAGAGCAGCATACCGCGGCCTCCAGAGGCTCTGGCAAGGTTGACCTCATCCAGCTCATTATCCAAATAGAGTCATTTTAATGAATTGTCAAGATTCAATTATAGAGAAGGTCCTCTAACTTGGATGGCTAGCTCTTGTCTTTGGGCTGTGCTGAAGAGCAGGACAAAGCGGTGAAGACTAGATAGCTTCCCCCACTCCATGGCTGGGTTTCAGGGATCCCCAGGAGACCACAGAGTATAGTTCTATGGAGACCTCAGGTAGGCTGACAATTGTGATTGTCCTGCTTCCTGCCCCGTCGTGATTAACATAAGAGGGTGCTTTGATGTTTGGTGTCTTTTTGTCTTGCCTCTGCCTCTTTCCCCATTGTCTTTTCACACTTGGCTCTGTAGCAATGGGAGGGGACAAAATAAACCACAGTGCAGGCTCCCATGTCCTCAGGCATTCAGAGGGCATTTTCTAAGTAGGAGGGGAAGGGAAAGCTAATTGGCCAGTGGGAAGTTGGGGCATATACCCTTCTAGGTTCTTCCTTGCTGCATTAGCAGGGGTTAGCTTCTCCCTGGCAAGAGCAAGACAGCCCTCTCCTTACAGAAATGCTATTACTTTTATACCCGTTCTCTTATCCAGCCACTGAACTTGATCGCTTTGCCTTCTCTAGCTACAGGCTACTCCACACAATCTGGTTGGTGAGTCCACCTCAGGATTATCCAGGCACTTGTTAAACTCTACCCGGTTAAGACCTGTGAGCCAGTTTGTTTCCTCTTGGAACCCTGATACTCTACGGCAGTTACCCTAAGCTACAAAGGTAGCCATCAGAAAGGCCTGTATACAACAGGCCCAACAAGGATGGGATTCACGACTGCAGTCTCATTAGTCCTGATGCTAATCACTGAGATGCCAGCTCAGGGCCTGACACTGCCCATTAGGACAGCATGTGGTAGGGACATTTGGCCTGTCTGTACAGTCAAGTTCTTACACAGAAAGGGAGGGGGCTCTTCTGTGTTTCAGCTCTGCAGAGAATTAAAGTTTAGCTGTGTGACCTAGGGCAGTGCTCTTAGCCTCCATCCCTGGTTTCCTGTCTTTTAGAGGCTTGCAAAAGACTTTGTAATGACAGAACAGGACAGCGCTGATTAGTGCTGGCACTGTACAGAGTCACTTGCATTGAAAGCAGTTTCATTTGCTTTCTATATTACATGGAGATTTCTCAGTTCTACATGTACTCAGACATTCACTCTACTGCAGATTGAATAAATAGCTGGAAAAATCATTTCGATGGGGGTTCCACTTAGCTATTAAACGTCAGATAAATATGTCCACCTGGGCACACAAGACTATATATATGCTGTATCCTTACAACTGTCATAGCCACCTGACCACAGTCAAGGTGGGGGAAGGAAAGAAAGAAATTAGTCCAGCCCGTGTCAATAAGTGCTAGATGCGTGTCCACTAGATGCACGCTGTGGACGGCGTTAGGAGCAGATGAAGGACCAGGGGAAAAAGAGTACTGGGCTGGGACATTCAGCTATGGTTCATACCCAGGTTGTGCCACATCTCTGTGACATTGGACAAGTTTTTCAATTACTCCAGGTCTCCGTTTCCCCATCTGCAAAGTGGGAATGATAAGAACTACATTGAAGCGTCACCAAGAAGTCTTAGTAAGTTGACTCGCTTCAAGCATACATCGTAGGGCCAGGAGCGACCCATTAAGAACCTACTGCCACTGTCACTGCTTATTATTACTGGAGGAAACAGAGTTTGGCACTCTTGATTCAAAGTCTAGCTCCCCCTCTCTGACTTCCTTGGGTGGGATTCTGGGTACATTTCATAACCTTGAGAGTCCCAGCTTACTCATCTGGCTATGGGTCCTAGAGATATTCATCTAGCTAGGCTGAGGTACTATTTAAGGTGACACACTGGTACACGAGGAGTGATCACTCATTCTTAGGTCACTACAACCCTTTCTTGTCCAGTTGGTTCTTTGTCACTTTCTAAGGCAGGGCTGAGCTGTCATCGCCTTCAAACTTTCACTGGACTCCCTCTTGAGGCTTTGTTCTGGCAGCCCCTGTTCCTGGAGAGAATCTTTTCTCATCTGACCCCTCTTACCAGACAGACTCCTTGTCTGATAGGTCGGTATTTCTAGCACACAGTGGGACGTCTGCTTGGTATTTGTGAGATGCCTACTAGAATGGAAAGCTAATGACATGGCCAGTGGATGCTTGGAGCAACCCATTCTTGCTGGAGACAAGCTTCTCAGAATTGGGTTGCTCCCTGTGAAGTCATCTGGGGGGCTACAGACACAGAGACTAGCTTCTTTATCTCCACTGAAGCTCTAGCCCCAGGTCTTGGTCACACAGCAGGTCCTTTGTTATGCAGGGTCAGATAGGAAAGTGGAAACCACTCTGGGCATCACAGACCGAGGGGCTTCAACATGGAGAACTGATTTGACAGGTTCTAGAGAAGTGTGATGGCACAGAGGAACCATGGGTCAACCTCAAGATCAGCAGCCCATAGAGCCCGCAGCTCAGTGGTTCTTTACCTTCTCAATGCTGTGGCCCTTCAATGTAGGTCCTGATGTTTGGGTGACCCCCAGCCATAAAGTTATTTCTATTGCTACTTCATAACTGTAATTTTGCTACTGTTATGAATTGTAATATAAATATCTGTGTTTTCTGATGGTCTTAGGTGACCTGTGTGAAAGAGTCATTTGACCCCTCAAAGGGCTCAAGACCCACAGGTTGAGGACACTGTCCTAGAGGAACAATGGAAGACAGAAATCGTAAGAACTGGGGATCTGAGATGGCCTGGAAGGAATTAGAACTCAAACCGAGGGAAACTGGAGATGCAGATGAAAGGTTGCCATGGAGGAACTGCTATCCAGGCAGGAAGAGAGCAGAGACACCCTGGTTGCCCTCTTTCTGTCATCCCTGGGGGTCCTATCAATCCCTGTTTCCTCCTTCCCTGACACTATACCCATGCTCACAAGTGCACAATCACTACCATCTACAAAGCAAAGGAGAGCAGAGCGTGTCAAAGAATAACTGGGGACAAACAGACAAAAGACCATGCTGGGCTGAGTGGATATCTAGGAATGTGATTTTGCTGGGTATTTCCATTCACATAACAAAGGCCAGATAGCGCTAGCAACTTAGGCTTCTAAGCTTCTATGTGGGTACTCTCCCTTAGGACAGTCACATCTACCTAGCCATAATCAAGGGAAAGGAGAAAAGGAAGGAACCAATCTAGCCTGGATTGGGATCTGCTGGCTGAGTGTTCGCCCAGTGTAAAGTGTAAAGCAGTTATCAGGTTCAAGGCTCAATAAATGTTTGTTGAACTAATGAATCTACTGCTCAGGCTATGTTGTAAAAAATTCACGAAACATGTTATTGTACTCCATAGCTGGTCTATCAATACACTCAAGCATCTGAGGCATCAGTGGGAAACTGAGTCTTTCTTCAAGGCCTCTGGGCTCTGAGCTGAGTCCTTGAGAAGTCAGCTTGGGTCAGTGATGCTGGGCTATCCACTTGGCAAGAGTGGCCGTACTTCCTCCTTTGTGGGGTCTTTCACTTCTGTGCACGCCGTTCTTGGCTCCTCTTTGAACTGAGTCCCTTTCTCAGCAGTGTCTGAAATGTGGTGGCAGCCTCCTTCCTACTTAGCTATATTAATTTCAGGCTCTCTTTTTCTGGGCCTTCCCTTTCTTCCAGGAGCAGAAGAATTGCAGAGCTCAGTGCTGAATGGGACCACCCATATTCAGACACCTTCAATAACTTTCTCTTTCCTTCAGGGTTCAACCTCCTAAGTCATCAAGGATCCAGGGCCAACCCCATTTTCCAGTACTGCCACTACCCTGTTCCCACTGCCCTCAGACAGAGCTGATACTGACACACGTCTTTCTTTCCAAACTCTTCTTCCTTCCTCTTGGCGAGAGCAGTTCCCTAACCAAAGCCGCATCCTCTCTCGCTTTGAGTTTGAATTTCACTTGCACCTGAAGCTTTGACTCACACAATTTTCTGCATCTCTGATTGAAGAAGTGATGTTTCCCATCCCTGAATCCTGAAAGTATTTTATCTGAACCCATAATAGTGAGCAAGCTCTAGTTTACCCTAGTTTACCACAGATTTGCACAGCTTCTCTTTTCTGATGTTTTTGAGGGTGGAGACCCTGACATTTTTAGTTTTATGGACCTCATAATATCTAGCGCATAGTGAGTACTTTAAACATTTTGTTGCATCAATGGTTGTATCTTCAAATGAATGACTGAGTAGACAGACACATACACATTAATGCAGGGATTGAATGAATAAGATCAGCCGTTTCCCTGGAGTTGCAAAGAACAGGTGACTCTAGTCTGCTTGAAAGCAGCTGTAGCTCTGGATGGATAATCAACTTGTGCCATACAAACTAGGGAAATGGCACACAGCTCTGGATGTTCCGGCTACCTTCTGATGGACAGGTTAAAGACAGCCTCTCAATTAGATCTCGAGTCTGGACAGTCAACTCTAGCCCATAGCTACTTAGCCCAATCAAGATACTCACATCGATGTAGTTGGCATTGATGTAGTCAGAGTGGGGGTCTCCATCCAGCACCAAGAGCCTCACCCGGGAGTGGTCATCTGGCGAGAGAACAAAGAGCAGGAAGATGAGAAGCTGTGGAAGGAGGGGTCAGTCGTTGTCTTCTGTAGAGCTGTCACTCATTAGGGACTCCGCCTCTTTCTCACAGTTATATGTTGTTTATAAGTGAGGAAACAGAGGTACAGAGAGGTAATGAATCTGACGAAGGACCCATTTTCTACTTTCTCTTTTGATTATGATTTCACCATTACCTGAGCAGGTGTATCCCCAGCCCCTAAGTCTTAGTGATTTCATCATTAATATCGGGATAGAAATACCTGCTTCATGGAATAATATGAGAGACTGATATCTGTGCCCAGACCGTAAGGTCATGGAGTCTGAATCAATATGCTTCCTTTCTATGCTTGTTTAAAAACAGCAAGTTTACCCATTTCTTCATGAACACAAACTACTTTATGTTTGTCTCTTGGAGCACTGATGCAGACAGAATGTCGGCAGTGTCTTGTTATCAATACTCTCATTAAACGGAGGACTGGATCATCAGAAAAGGGGTCATCAATAACTAAAAATCATGTTACTGAGGATGCCTTTTCAAACACAGTCTAGACATAAACAACAAGATGTTCAGGCTTTAGTCAATAGCATGCTTGCTTCAAATACCACTTTAAATGGTACATCAGAAAAAGCTGGATAATCCTTTGCAATTAATTAATGTCAATTCTGACATGCTAATTTACACACACTAGGGAACATCTTGGTTGGGTCTGGTGAGAACCTCCAGTCTGCTACCTGGGTCACTGTGCACCTGCCATTGTATCCCCCATTATACTCCAGGGCAGAGATGGGGTTCACAGTCGGTGGGATAGAGGGGTGTGGGCATCCTAGGGCCTCATAGGATTAAGGAGGGAAAACAGCTTTTCCTCGTAGACTTTTATAGTACGCCTCAGTTTCTAAGCACATTTGCTGGCACTGACTTGAGTTTCTTGCGATGGGGCATTGACTGCCTTGTCTGTGTTTCATCCCTTACAGCCTTATGGGAGTAGCACACAGCAGGAGCTCAGTGAGTACTTGGTGAGTGGATGAGTGGATGAGTGAATGGCCCCATTGGGTGCTCTCAGTGATCTCATGAGAGAGGCAGAATGGCTCCGTTAGTCCTTGTAACAAACGAGCAAACTGAGGTTCATAAAAATTGGCCGTATGACTAGTGAATGGTGCGACACAGAAACGTGAGGGCCTATTAACTTCAAGTTCGTATGTTCCTACTTCCAAAAAGCTCCAAGCAGGAGATTAGAAACCATGTAAGTATTCACAGAGGAGGATGGCTACAGAAGTTGTTGGTTGAGTGACGGAAGGAATGTTTAAGAAGTGAGATAATTTAGAAAAACAACAAAGAGAGGCTACTTTAATAGACTGGAGGAAGAGAAAGATGGGGTGGCATTCTCAGAACTCTAGATTTGGGGTAAAGTAGGACTGGAGCCACCATGGGTGTCTTTGGCAGGAGCTGGACTCAAGGGGGAGAGTTCCTGATTGCAAGGACATCACCTTGCAGAGATCAGCTCCTTGTAATGTAACATCAACTGGAAGGTCAAGGATGGATCCAGCTTTGGGCAAACAGGCCCCGGACTGGTATAAGGCACCACTAATATCTATTAACTCGGAATCAATCATGAGTATCAACAGGCAGCAGGTGCCATACTTGGATAATGCATTATACTGGAAACCCCTGTTCTAATTCTCCAAGGAGGAAATGTTTCATTGGAAGCCACTGGTAAGGAGGAGTAGGTAGGAGGTAACTCTGCTTGGGTATGGGATAGAGATGTGGGGTCTGGGGTGAGGAGAGTTTCAACTTAAACTTTACTTAATTCATTATAAAGCTCCAGTATTAGGTACACCATCTCACTCACTTTTCCCTAAAAGTAGCTCTTCACCTTATCATGGTCACAATGAAGTGCTATTATATCTGCTTTCTCAGGCTCACATAAGTTAAGCACTTTCACCAATTAGACAGCTACTCTCTAAGGTGCATCCTGTTCTACCAACAGGACTTGCTGTCCTGAGGAAGTACAGGCATCTCAAAGGGTAACTACCGTTAGGGTCTGTGCAAGCGAGGGGTCCCCAGCCCTCAGCACTCATGAGAGGGAGACTTCCTGGGGATGGCCATTCTGTAGGAGTGTGACCTGACTCTGAACCCCGGCTACCAGCAGTTACAGAATTTATAAGTCTCAGAAAAAGGAAATGTATATTATGTTTTTATCTAGTGCTCTTATTAATGACTTGGTGATTCAAAATCTCTTTTATTTATGAGACTGATGAATTGCCTGCTATACTAAAGAGGCAGATCAAAATCTCCTTTACTTACTGAGTTATGCTTGCCTGAAGACTATAGCAGTAGAAATAGAGATTCTGGTTTAAAATGATAAAAGGGGATATATATATATATATATATGCAAAAATCATTAGAAACAAAGCAAAAGAAAAAACCTACAATTTTGAGTCAAATAGCCTTAAAGAGCATATGTGTCTCTAACCATCAGTTTGTCTACCAATATCTTCCTTTATTATTAAGAACACACTTGCTGCTTACCTACTATGTGCCAGCCTAGTTGAAGGAACTAAGAAAGGGTTAGAGCAGGTGAGCTTCATGCTTAAGCAACAGGGGCAATTTGATCAAGGAGATGGCTCACAAACAGAAGGGAAACATCAAGGTCTTGTAAAAGAGGAACAGAGAGCTTTTGTAGTGAAATGAGACTCAGGAATTAAAAGTGAGGAAGCTTTGACCCAGGGGCATCCAGGAAGTTTTTCTCTTAGAGGACACCTGGAAGCAGGGATCCTCAAAGAGCCGGCACTTTGCAGGAAGGTGCTATAGTGTAGGACTGCAGAAGACTCTTTTTTCCTGGGATCACTGATCGTGAGGGAAACAGTAGCAAGAGGAGACAGAGGAGAAGGCTGGATAGAATGGAGTGTTCTCTATGCCACTTTAAGGCACCAAGGCACAAGTACCTAGAACATTTAAAATTTCAGCAGTGAAATACTACACACGCAACAGTGGCAAAACCCTCACAATACCAGCAAATACTTGCTAATATTTGTAACGGGAATGCTCACCTACTCATTGCTAGAGAAAGCATACAATGGTGCAACCACTTGGAAGATAACAAGGCCATTTTGTACAAAATGAAGAATCCATCACCATGAGATCCAGTAATTACACTATTTGGTATTTATCCAAAGTATTCCAATTTTATGCCTACATTAAAAACTGTACACAAGCAGCTTTAGTCATGATCATACAAATTTGGAAACAACCAAAAATATCCTCAGTAAGTGAATTGGATAAATAAAGGGTGATATAGCCATATACTGGAATATTATTCAGTGATAAAAAGAAATGAACTCACAAACTATAAAAGACATGGCAGAGACTTAAATACTATTGCTAAGTAGTGGAAGCCAATCTGGAAAGGCTGTGTTGAATGTTGAGTCTACATATGGTTCTAACTATATAATACTCCAAAAGAGGAAGAAACCATAGAGCCTACAAAAACCTCAATGGTTGGCAGAGGTTTAGAAAAGGAGAAAGGAGGGTTAAATATGTTGAGCAATGGGGACATTTAGGGCAAGGAAACTATTCTATAAAATACTGTAATTGGTATATGCACTTTCCAGTTCTACAGAACTGCATAACATACAACGTGAGCCCTAATGCAAACTGTGGACTTAAACTAACAATAATGGACCAATATTAGGCTATCACCAGCAACAAATGTTCTGCAGTGTTGATGAAAGGGAAAACAACATATAACTGGTACAGAATTCTGTACTTGCCACACAGCTTCTCTATAAAACTGAAATTGCTCCTAAAGAAATAGAGGATAGTGCCTGGCATACAGCAGGGACTCAATAAATGGAGGCTTGGGCTAGATATAAGGTACACAGTGGGGTGACAGTAGAGACACCTAGAAAGCTAATGTTCCCCATTTGTCCATCTGCCCAAAGACAAATCTGTTTATCTGCAGACACAGGAGTAATGGATGCGTTCCTTAAAGGACAGAATTCAGATCCAGGTCTAGCAGAAAGGCAATGCAAAGAATGGCAGTGTCCTCATGGTTTATTTATCTGTCCTGGGAAATGCTAATATTATTCCGGGTCCCTTTCTTCTGCTAACTTTATGTAATTAGAAAGATAAAAATTGTTTACTCACATGCACATGGAGAAAGATGGGGCAGCCAGCGATGGCAAGGAGCTTATACAAGGTAATTTACAAGCCGCCCAGAATGTTCATTATGCTCTATCTACATTTTGCAAGCTTGAAAAACAACTAATTTGGCATGCAGCATTTGAGAGTCAAGACAAAGAGAAGGGTTATGAAGAATCTTGTGGAGGAGGAGAAGCTCCCTGAATGGGAAGTAAGATGAAGAGGCAAGAGCCTGAATACTCCAGGTTCCTTGAGGAGGTGGGGACTGGGAAAGAAATAGCCTTTGCTTGATGGTAGAGGGGCCATGAAGGACTTGGAAGTTTAAAACCGTCCCATGAACACAGCTGCAGGGGCAGGGGGACATCATCTTCTGTCTTTAAATTATCTGTTCTTTATTGCTGTAGAATGTGGGCCCATGGTAGGCTGGTAACTGTTTCAGAGGCTTACAAACAGCTCTCTGAAAGGGAACAGAGGTCTGATATATAACGTGGGTGGTATAAATATCACCACCATCACCGATTGTAAACAACAGATGTACAAAATTTATGCTGATCATACGTCTGCTTTTGTTCACTGGCATGAATCAACCAGAGCACATCATAGCAGAGACTCTTACCATTCCCCACAAAGCCACACTGGCTCTGATTGCCTGAGAACCCACTGCCCTGTCATGGTCTCCTCTCCACACACTTCCCTGGTAACCTTGATCTTAAGTGGTTCCAATATACTGTGTTTGTTCTGGTCACAGAGTCTTCACACGTGCTGAGGCACACACTTGTCTGAGACCATGCATCATGACCAAATTCTTTATTCCCATGGCTGATCCATTGTCTCACCTGCAGTTCTGAACTGCCCCAATATTGACAACCAATCCTTATCTTTATTAGAAGAGAGCTAAAGGATCGGCTGAATTGTGAAGGCTGACCCGAGACACCCCCTCCACTCCCTCACTAGATCATCATAATACTTAGCTTGGGTTGTAATATTCCTTGAACCTCTATTTATTCAATTATAACCCCCACATAATATTTTTTTTACTACAGACTTGTGCCTGAGATGAAAAGAAATCAAATATGAAAACATTGAACCTGCTGTAAAGATCAACACAAATATCTAAGTTGAGCCTTTTTATTATTATAGACCAATGGATTTCTAAGTGTAATCTTTAGATATCCAGATTTTGGGGCCATACTCCAGTTTCCAAAATCAGAAGCTGTAAGAGGAAAATGTATGTTTTAGCAAGCTTTTCACAGTGCGTGCCCTGTTTTGAGCATGCAAATTAATGTTGAGTTATTCAGCACAGATTTGTCCTAACTTTAATTTCTCTTGGGAAAGATCAGGAGACTTCCTGGAAGTGGGCCATGATGTCAAAGACCCCTCAGTGGCAGGTGGCAAGGGATAGGAGTTTATCTGTACGGAGAGTGTAAGGTGTTCAATGGACTATTCCGGAAGTTGCAAGGATACTGTGCCATTTGATTAAAAATGTAACTCTGAATGGCAAATTGCATACCTTACTTCATGGATGGAACTCTGTGGAGTTCAGTCACTCAATAGAAGGTATATGGCAGACAGCCTCCTTACATAGTGGCAAACTGGCCCCCAAGACCCCAGTGCCCCAAATCCCTCTATTCCTTGTTTCCCACCAACAACTCGGTCCCCAACCCTGGTCCCCTGTCTCTCTCTTGTTGTCATTTCACAACCACTCTGGAGGAGGAGGTTTAGTTCTCTCCTTTGTGCAGTTCTAACTAAAAACCAAACCCCAGATTCCCCCCTTTTCTCCATCACCAGACAGAACCCAATAAATCAGTCATCTCCAGTCACATCCGCTTTAAGAGAGAATCACTTCAGAAAGGTGGGGCTGGGAGAGACTCTCATTTGCATACTTTATAATCTTTCCTCCTGTCTTCTGGGGACGGCAGAGGGTAAAAAACAGGAGCAATTTTTCAGAGAAAAGAGATTTGACTCATTACAATGAATTGTGGAGCTGCAAAGCCATTTCCTGGAAGTATTGGAAATGTTAATGCCGTCATCTTGCCCGAGTGGGTAGGGAGGAGGCAGGTAATTCCACAGGGACTGCCTGGGTACCTCATCGAAGCTAAAGGTCTAAGCATTCAATCTTGATTGAGTTACCCTTATTGGCTCACAGAAAGTATGGCTTGGGCCCACACAAAGGGGATACACATCCGTTCTGTGTGTCTCCTTGTCGCCTCAGATCTATGCTAGCTGCTAGCTGAAGCTGGGAAGCTCCCACCGCAGAGTCAGGAGAGAGAGGGGAAGAACAGACAGGAAGAGCACCCAGAGAGGACAGGGGACAGTGTTGTTACCACTGCAGCTCCTTGCATCCTCAGGATGTCACCAGGCAGTGCCCCACCAGGAAATCTATCTTTCTTTCTTTCTTTCTTTCTTTCTTTCTTTCTTTCTTTCTTTCTTTCTTTCTTTCTTTCTTTCTTCCTTCCTTTCTTCCTTCCTTCCTCCCCCCCCCCCTCCCTCCCTCCCTCCCTCCCTCCCTCCCTCCCTCTCTCTCTCTCTCTCTCTCTCTCTCTCTCTCTCTCTCTCTCTCCTATTAGATTTTTTTTAAAAAATTACTAATCCAAATTCCCACTCCCTTCCCTCCACACACTCTCTCACCTTACCCCTCTAATCCTAAGACAGAGTAAAGCACTTTGCTTTGTGGAAGGTCCGAGGCCCTCCCTACTACATCTAGGCTGAGCAAGGCATCCATCCAAAGAGAACAGGATCCCCAAAAGCCACTACATGCAGTAAAGATAAATCCCTGTGCCACTGCCAGTGGCCCCTCAGTCTGCCCCAGCCATGCAACTGTCAACCGCATTCAAAGGGTTTAGTTTGGTCTTATGCTTGTTCCTTCCAAGTCTGGCTGGAATTGGTAAGCTCACATTAGCTTTCCTATCTTTTGTGTATCTCTCATACATCTTGGCTTCTGTCCGTTGGCCTAAAATATTCCTGTCTGTCAATGAGTAGGTCTTCCTTTCTTATGGTCAAGGCATTTACTTTTCGCATAGGTTCAATATTCCTGGGAGCAGGGCATTGGAAACTTGTTTTCTTTTTCTTTTCTTTCTTCTTCTTCTTTTTTTTTTTTTTTTGAGACAGGGTTTCTCTGTGTAGCATTGGAGCCTGTCCTGGCACTAGCTCTGTATATCAGGCTGACCTCAAACTCATAGAGATCTCCTGCCTCTGCTTCCTGAGCGCTGGGGTTAAAGTCATGTACCACCACTGCCCGGCTGGAAACCTGTTTTCAACAGTGAACCCTATTTGAGCTCACAACCCAACAATTACATTGGATAACGCACTGGTTACAGTACACCAGGCACTGTACTGAAACCAATGACAGTGGGGACAAGCCATAGCGAATAGACACCTGTCACAGAACAAAGACATTTTCCAGTGCCCAGCACAGGAAGTGTTCAGAGGAGGCCCACACATTATGCCTTAATATATGTCTGCTGACTATTTGAGTATCTCTTTCCGACACTTCACTTGCAAGAAATCTTGCTGTCTGCATGCAAGAGAGAAATTATAAATGTTTTCTGATTAGTTCCACTATTCACAGCCCATTCCTAAATCAGCACAGGAAACAGCTAAGCGAAAACTTCTGCCTCTTTCTTCCTTTACAAACTGCCTGTGTCTTATTCTTCTCCAGCTTTTTTTCTTTTGAGATGTCTAGACAGTTAAAACAAAACTTTTCACGGTGCTAGAAATAACTTGTCCCTAAGGATTTCCCCGTTTCTCCTTTCTTTGCCCAAACTGGGGTAACCTGAGATCTTAAAAAATGGTCCTCACACAGTGGGTAGGATGTCAAAAGTCCTGGGTGGGGCTACAATATATCACAGGAAGGTTGCTATGGGCACCTCTTAACAGAGCACTGACTCAACACTTTATCTGGGGTATCTCTGCTCTCTCCCTGTGCTGTCTTGAAGGCTGTTCATTTTCATCTGGAAATGCTGAAACTTGTGTACTGTCTGTGAGTGGTAGTTCATTTTATGGCTGTTCCTCAACCCTCTTTCTCTTTCTTCCCCCTTTAGGATTACTACTGACTTCAGTTGGGTCTTGCCACCCCTTCCTGGGATAATTGTAATAATCTACTAACCCAAAGCTGGAAACATAAGGATTATTTTATATCAAATCCCAGGAAACAATAACTTTTTTTTCTCCCACATTTCCCAAAATCTAACACATAGAACCTCTCAGAAGGACACTTACAGGATATGATGTTTCCATATCGATTCTTATTGCGGTTTTCATCTTCCTTGGCTGTGTCCCACGAAGCTGTCTGTCCCTCTGGTAAGGCCTACAAGGCAAAGGCAGATTGTGTTAGCATAGCCTGAGATGGCAACTCTCCTCAAGTATAGAGGAACCAACAACAGGAAAAGGGTATTGACTATGATGGGGGACTCAGTACAAAGGGCTATGTGTCTGTAGTGGTGCCTCCTATGAGCTTACATTGCTTGTTCATTGGCTCAAATACTGTTTTATCTTCTTTCTGTCATGAGTTTACAGTCTAGTCGAGTAGTGAATCATTCATTCATTCATTCATATACTCAGCAGAAGCTCATTGATCTCATATTATGTTTTGGCAATTTTTCTAGGTACTTGAACTCTAGGGTATCCAGTGGATTAGGAAATGTAGCAAAGGAGAAAGCAAATCCTATTTCATATATGAAGATATGAAGAACCACAAGAGGATAACAGCTTAGAAAGTTTTCTGTGAAAGACTCACGTGCAAATTCATTCCCTGATGAGGTGAAGAAGTCAGTCACACTGAGAAAAGTAGGAAGTACTTTCCAGGCAAAAGGAACAGGTGCAAAGGTCAGAGAGTGATTACATGATCATGTTCATAGGATGAGAGTATGGCAGGATTGTTGGGGGGAGCTAATGCCTGGAAACTTCTAGGGAGGATCTGAGAATCCAAATGACCCCCAAGTATCATAGTTCCTGGTTAATAAAGAATGTTGTTCTAAGTGTGGTAGGGAACCATTAGAGGGCTCTGAGCAAGGAGGTCCTCTCATCTGCTATACAAAGAGCATTCGTGTTCCTGTGGAATGCAAACTCTAAGAAGGCCAGAAAAGAAACAGGGTAATTGGTTATTAATTGATTGCAATCGTACCTTGTAATGGTCCTTGGACTGCTGGAGCAAGTAATAGTAGTGGCCATGAGAGAAGCAATTATTTTGTTGTTGTTCAGGTAAGCATGTCAGACTTAGGTCATCTCAGAAGGAGACCCAAATATAAGACTTTGGGTACAAGTGGCTGGGTTTGGAGGCAATCAAAGAGAATGAGAGGAGAAAGGGGGAAGCAGACAGTCAAGGGAATGAAGCTGACAGGGCAGATTGTCACTGTACCACCAAGTCAAATTGGAGTTCAATAATTCATGAACACATCTCATGTCCAGGGCTCTTGTATGAGAGGGTAAGGAGAGAGCTGGAAGGGAGATGGAACGGTTGCCAATTGTTTCTCTTCTACTGTTGTTGGAGAATAAGTGTTAGAAAACCCTCATGTTTATGCCTTGCTCTGTAGGTAGTGAGGATATTCTTTAGTCTTGAGGAAGTCCTCGGGTAACAAAACATAGATGCTTACCAGAGGAAGCTGTCATGTTGGTGTGCAGAGAACCATGAAGGTACAGATTTGCAGAGGGCACTAATGCAAGAAATTTAGACAGGAAGTGTGAAAGAAAGAAGAATGTAGGCTGACCTCTAGGTCAATGGTTTGAAGAACCAGAGAAATGTCATTTACTGAAATGGAGAAATCTAAGGAAGAAACATTATTGATTGGGTGGGAAGTAAGCATTGCATTTTGGGTATATAATGTACTTAGAAGATTACCAACTAGTGGGCACTGTGTATTTTAATGTGTTGAAATTAGTAAAAATGATAATAGTATTACTGGCACCCAAGTTTGAGATGTCTGTAAGACACCTAAGCTGGGCTGTTGATCAGGAAGTTTGCTGCAGAGCTCCAGAGTTGAAAGGCAGGAAGGAGGCAGAAGCCAGCCATCAGTTTAAGAGGGAGGCAGATATGTAAGTGACCGCCAAGTGAACACCCATGTGGATGGTTTGCAAGAACTAAGGGCCAAGAGGTCTAGAGCAAAGGGAAGATGCCATCAGTTCCATCACAGAGGGGAGAAATGAGCATTTATGGAGTGGGAACCGCTTTAGAAAGCCTGCAGCATCATACAGGACAAGCCATATTTTGGTGAATGTCTTTTTCCTTCCCCACAGAAGGACAGGATGAGTGTCCTATCCATGGTCCTGACATTACTTACAATGCCAGATTCGGTCTACACAGTGGAGGAGGAGACGTTTGCTCATTTTAACACATCAGCCTTCACTTTGCCCTTCTATTCTTCAATGGGTCCATCCTAAGTGAGAACAAGTCCTCACCAATTGGTCAGAAGTTAATTCAGTCACTCAGAAGACCATGATCTCAGAGACAGGCATGGTCCCTGTGTATGAAAAAGCAGCGTTTGTGCACAGCGAACCCTTTCTTACGTCTAGTCTCACATGTGCTTTACCAGCTTTTGGTTTCTTATGGCAAAGCTTATTTTCAAGACTTACCTGTGAAAATCAGGATACACATTTGACTCACTCCCAGTTCTCTGGTTGTAGAGGAAAAACAATCACAGACAAATGCATGTATTCCAATAAATGTTTATTTACAAACTTAGGTGTTTGTAAATATGTGTTTAGCTTATGTTTGTAGTTTGCCGGCATTTTTTTCTAGCATGATCATGGGCTTCATCTATGCAGTAGTGTTGGGTGTGTAGAACTGGTATCCATTCTGTCTCCAATCCTTCCCATAGCCACTGAAAGGCACACGTGAGAGGGCTTTGCCTTGGTTTCCTGGCTATGATATTGATATGCTCTCCAATTTAGCTCTAAGGCTTTTTTTTTTTTTTAGCTATCATTGGCTCAGAATGTCATTCTTCGTGTGCCTCTCACTCTTAGGTAGGCATCTCAGAGGGGAAAACAAAGCAAATTCTAGCCTCTGGGTACCAAGCATCCCTGTAACTATCTATCCTTTGGTTTAGGCTATCTTTAGACTACTGATGCTTCTTGCTCCTGTGCCTAACTCAGCTTCCCAACCTCATCCTACCTTCTAACTGGGCAGCCCACTTCTGTCAGTCAGCCTGCCAGGCATATTGCTGTGTGTCAGAGTCTTAGTGACAGTTTTGTCTTTCTTGATATTTGGGATGATCTTTGGGGAGCAGATTTTCTACTTGGAACTCTCTGTGATAAAAGTCAATTGTTCATTCCAACATGGCGGTGGGGCAGACTATTTCCATATGAATCTGATGGGAAAATATGTTTAGTGTCTGCTGTGTGTCAGAATTTAGGTTTTAGTTACTTACAGTCTCTTTATGGTTGCATGCTGGCATTACTTGTGTATGGTTTTAAACTCTTGATGCCAAGGACTTACTCCAGATCAGATAGGTCACTGTCTGTGATAAAATGTGGACATAGGCCATGATCAAAGCTCCTATGAGATTTCACTGTGAAAATGGCAAATTTCCCTGCAGAGATAATTTACTTTTGGATTTCATGGCTTTGGTTTTGTTCCCTCCAATTCATCCGCCATTGTAATCAGAGTGATTTTTATAAATGGTGAACAGGACCCAGTTACTCCTTTTTTTATTGGAATTTATTGAGTAAATTCCGAATTCGTAATAAGCCCTTTATGACTTCACCCCAAACGTTCTTTCAGTCTTATTTTGACCATGTACAAAGTCCTTTAGATTTCTGAGACTTTACACATGTTCTTTCTACTTGAAATTCCCTTCCACTCGAGGTTCCTGTAAAATCCCTAAGAATCTTTCCAAACACATCCAAGCTTTATGCTCACCCTTCCCTACTGCATTCTCAGCTAGAGCCAGTCACTTCCATATATTGCCACACGAACACGTCTACATCTAATAACATAAAAGCCTCCCTTCCAAAGTAGCCAGGGGCTTCTTCAGGGAAAGGAGAACACCACATTTATAATTCCATTTCCAGGGCCCACTACTAGCACGGTACTTCATACTGAGAGAACGACAAGCTTGGAATGAATAAAATGACTAATAACTGAGTGGCTTCTGAGTCTGTGGATGACAAAGATCTTGGAATTGCAGACTCATTCGTGACCTTGAAAACTGTCCTTCCCACTGTGGCCTCATCATCTGGTTCACAGTGTCAATCACTGGAGCACCCTCAGTGGCAGATTGCTCACTGTCCCACAGGTTCCTGCCTGTCCTTTAAGCAGCATTGCTGGCTGGATTTCTTCTTGCTCTGGCCCTGTGCTTTGCCTTGGCCTACCTCCATGGACCCAGTAGAATAAGCATGGTCCCTCTGTATTGTAACACTGCAGACATCCAATGAAAGTCCATCCTGCCAATCCTAGAGTTCTGAATGGTGGCTAAACACCAAAACCATGGCCTTGGAGACAAGCCAAGGCAAACCTATCCTGATGTGGGATAACCCTCTGTATTCTGTGAATACCATTGCTTAATCAAGAAACGGTCTTGGGCCTGCACAAAGCAGAATAGAGTTTTGCAGGGAAAACTGAATTCTGGAAGAAAGAAAGTGGTGTCAGTGAGAAGCCATGGAACTGCCTAAGGAGAAAGATGTGAGCTCCAGCTGGAACCTTGCTGGGAGGCTATGAGCCTCATGGCAAAATATAAAATAATAGAAATGGGTTAATTTAATATGTAAGAGTTTGTTAGGAATACACTAGAGTAATAGGCCAAGCAATGATTTAATTACTAGAGTTTCTGTGTGGTTATTTTGGGCCTGAGCAGCCGGGAACAAACAAGCAGCCTTCCTACTACACTATCTCAGAGAAATCCTACACCCAACATAACAGTTGTAATGATTGAGGGCTACTTCCCCATGGGAATACACATAGGCACCTACTGCAGCTCCGGGACCTCTGTCTCCCCCTAGTGAGGCTGAAAGACACCAGAAATGGGGTGTGGGGTTTTGTGACAATGTTGACAAATACAGAAGGTGTTCCTAATAGGACCACCGAGGGGAGGCGGTAATGGCCCCTAATTGGCAGACTTTGATCACCCATATGTTTCCCCTTTTAGGCAGTTGCAGCCTAATAGAGGATAATCTCTTCAAGAAAACAAATCTGAGGGGTAAGAGCATGAGAGGGAGATTCATCTCCTCTTCAAAGTGAAGGAGCCAGGGGCATTATTTTTACATTAGTGGCTAGTTACAGTAGATTGACCAGGGAATGGTGGCAGTCATTAGGAGCTAATCACATTCTTTTGAAACCCAAATTGCCACCTCATTATACTCCTCTATTATCAATCT